TTCTTATCATCAGGCTAGTCAAAGTAAAGATTGGACACAGGCCATGAGGACTGAACTTGATGCACTTGAAAATAATCAAACCTGGGAACTAACTAATCTGCCACCTGGGAAGCAGGCTATTGGTTCACGATGGGTTTATAAGGTAAAGTTGAACCCAGATGGTACAGTTGATAGGCTCAAGGCAAGACTTGTTACCAAAGGTTATCATCAATTACAGGGAGTGGATTATTTTGACAGTTTTTCCCCAGTCGCAAAAATGGTTACTGTGCGAATGTTTTTAGCTATAGTGGCAGCTAAGGAATGGGCTCTACATCAACTGGATATAAATAATGCATTTCTTCATGGATTCTTGGACGAGGAAGTGTATATGATACCTCCTGATGCCTTCATAAGGCAGAACCTGGCCAGGTCTGTAAGTTGAAACGCAGCCTATATGGGTTGAAGCAGGCATCACGACAATGGAATGTTGAGTGTTGTTCAAAGCTTAGTGATTTTGGCTTTCAACGGTCTGAACATTATCACTGCCTATTTACTAAGCATGACTCGCAAAGGACCCTCATTCTTTTGGTTTACGTGGATGATGTACTGGTTACTGGAACACATGAAGATGACATTATTGCTGTCAAGCAATACTTAGATCACGCCTTTACTATCAAAGATATGGGATATGCAAAATATTTTCTGGGGCTTGAGATTGCTAGAAGTAGCGAGGGAATGTATGTCAATCAAAGGAAGTACATTCTAGATTTGATTCAAGATGCTGGTTTACTCGGAGCAAAACCAACACAAGTGCCAATTCCAAAGGGGATTAAACTGGTTAGCCACGCAGGGCCCTTACTTCAGGAACCAGAACGATATAGGAGGCTTATTGGGCGACTCCTCTACTTAAATCTGACACGACCTGATATTACATATGGTGTGCAACAACTTAGCCAATTTGTTAATGCTCCTTGCGAATCACATTGGACAGTTGCACTACACTTACTCAAGTATCTGAAGGGGTGCCCTTCAATGGGGCTTTTCTTTCCTGCCAAATGTTCCCTCCGTCTGCAGGAGTATGCTGATGCTGACTGGGCTTCCTGTCCAGACTCTAGGAAGTCCCTCACAGGGTATTGTATTTTTCTTGGTGCTTCCCTTATCTCCTGGAAAACCAAGAAGCAAACCACAGTTTCGCGTTCATCCGCAGAGGCCGAATACCGTAGTATGGGCAGTACAGTTTGTGAACTGAAATGGATCACTTATATCTTACAAGACCTTCAAATTCCGTTCACACTCCCTATCTCTCTATGGTGTGATAACAAGGCCTCCTTACNTCCGTTCACACTCCCTATCTCTCTATGGTGTGATAACAAGGCCTCCTTACACATCACGGCAAATCCGGTTTTCCATGAACGCACTAAGCATTTGGAGATAGATTGCCATCTGGTTCGGAACTTGTATAAGTCTGGCTTTCTTCTCCCACAGTATGTTCCTTCTCATTCTCAACTTGCGGACATTTTCACCAAGTCATTTGCAGCTCCTCATTTTCATCGACTTCTTTCCAAGTTGGGGTTGGGTGATTTGCACCAACCTCCAACTT